AAATTCGATCAGGAGCAGCCTTGCGCGAGGCCACGCTGAAACAACAGGTAACCCTACACCACGACAGCAAAGTCATAAAACATGAATTTCAGGTCGGCAATCTAGTCTTGCAAAGAAACCAGGAGGATTCCCGCGAAGGAAAGTTGGCCGCTAACTAGGAGGGACCTTATCGCATCCAGGGAGCCACGGGAACCGAAGCATATTACCTCGAGCAATTAAATGGAGAATCGCTACCTCGACCCTGGAATGCTGCGAAGCTAAAACAATATTATAGCTAAAGTCCCTCACCTGCTGAGGACTTTTGCCGTCGAATATTCACCTTCAGTCGACGAAGGGAAAAACTCGACCACGTAGGCGAGTCGAGGTACGGGCCCGACCTACCAACCAACAAAAGCATAATGTTGTTCACTTTGACGAGCAACATACGTGCCCGACAGGGACACCTCGATCGAGCTCTACTGTCGAAGTACCCCAATATGGCAGAATACCTAGCTCGCGATGGAAAGTTCACGCCACGAGCATAGGATCGTGATCGCGATCATACGCCCGTCCCACGGATCCTTACTTCGCGCCCTCGACACATTTCGAAGTGTGTCGAACCGACATTAGGGTCGAACGTGTATCTCCACACGAACACGAACTTCATGAAAAATTCATAACGACCATAACAATGGTCGGGCACATACATCAAATATTAAGTTATTAATCAAATAGACAGTTACAAACAAAGCAATTATAATATGCCGGCCACAAGGGCCAACGTCGTTCAAGATTACAGTTTAGGCACGACGACCACAAAACTAAAAGAATAACAGCGGACACGCAGGCCCAAATACAGACTGAAATAAAAACATTAATCACTCCCCAGAGTGCCAACTTTGACATTAGGAGAGTCGGGAGGAGGGACCACCCGACCATCAACAATCTGGGACAGAACCCCAGTTCCTTCAGTATTCAACCCCGGGTTCAGCACATATAGTTTATTCACAGCAGACTCAAAGCCGTCGGCCAAAGCATCAACACAATCTGACTCCAGAAGTTGAATTCAAGCAATGAAATCAGCACGCGTGCGCAAGTCAACCACCCCTTCAGGCTCACCCTCTGCGGGCAGGATAACGGCCCTCAGATCTTCAACCTCTCTTAGCAGCCAATGGTTGTCACTCTCCAACCGCTCCTTATCAAGCTGTAGGAATTCTTTGTCTTTGAGGGCTCTGTCAGCTCTCTCCTTCTCCCCCGACAGCACGTTGGACTGCTCCCGAAACATCTCCTCGCTTCATTCAAGAGAAGTCTTCAGTTTTCGGGTTTTCGCCAGGAGAGCCGCCTTCTCCGACTCCAACTCCTTGACCCGATCCGAGGAGTCTGACCCTTCACCCGCAAGGACAACCGCCATCTCAGCCATCTTCACCACCCCGATCATGCTGGCAGCAAGGTGCTTCCTCCGACCTTCCTTGTCGAGTCGTTTGATGATATCAGCCTCATTGTCGGACACGATCAAGGAAAATCCCTCAAAGAAGTCTTTTTCCACAAAATAGGGTGGCAAGCTGAAGGCCCGGGCACCCGCCCTTCCATCAATTACCTCGACTCCACCTTCTAGTCGACTCCGTTTTTTGCTCAGTAGTGCAGGTTGGCACTCGATGTCACGAGAACCCGAGGACCCACTGGATCCTTCCCTGGCCGACTCGGGGGTCGGACCCATACGCGTAGCTTGCTGCGGCTTCACCAGCCTCTTATTGATCTTCTTATCTTGGGTCAGCTTCAACAATCTCTCTCGTCGTTCTGCCATGTGACCTGCAAAGAAAATGTGCTCGGGTTAGCCACGTCGAAGAAACAAAAAAAAAAGGCTATCAATAGAGTAAGCAAGAAACCTAAGAGGTCTACAGCTTGCCCGTAAGACTGACACTCGACGAACGCCTTGGTGTTGATCGGACGTGCCTCGAACGTTGGCTCGCCATCCTCATCAAGAATGATGTTTCCTTCCCTTGTAACCCACCGAGCGGGGAAGAAACCATCGATAAATTTATTCAGGACGCCATATGCCTCCTCGTCCTCGGCGCTCATACCGCTGGCGGGAGTGTGGTGATAGCCAAGTCCATGGTCGTAATGGGCCGAGCACCAGTGGATGGGAAACTTCGAGATTCTCCCCATCTCAAGATCACCCTCAGAGTCCAAACACGGCTCCCCGTCCTCATCCACCACGGCAGCCGGCTCGAGTAGCGAATCCACGACTGTCTGGGTAGATGGTTGCAAAATATACCATTTGTCCTTGAAATCCCGAACAGAATCCATGTACATCCTAAACAGCCTCTTCGACTGCTTAAGGGACACCCAATTATGCTTCCCTCCTCGGGACTGCTATTGTAGGTAAAAAACCATGAAGAACAGGGGAATCGTCGCCCCGATCCTTAGGAAACAACACGTAAGTTCGAATGCCCGGATAAAGGCAATCACATTGGGATGAATCTGGGAGGGAGCCAAGCTCAAGTGATTGAACACTCCCATCTGGAAGTCGTTGAAAGGAAGCCGGAGCCCGAGGTCTTTGAACACGATCTCATACATTAGGAAGGCATCCTGAGTAAACTCCGAGCAAATACGAGCATCCTGTGTCGGCCTCATGATCTTAAAATTTCTCCGAAACCCCTCCTGGCCACCGCCGTACTCGACGACCGTATAAGCTTGTCTGTCGGTGTAACTATAAATCGAGACTATCCCTCGGGGTTTCGCACCGACCCAATCTAGAGTAGGATCATCGACGGTGTCAACCAGGTTAATACTCTCCTCGGCAGTGTTGGTTCCCTCGGTGTCAATGTGCTCCGAGGACTCGGGAGTATCGGCCATTTACCTGCAAAGTACATGAAACCGGTGAATTCCATAGCAAATCCGCTTTTCCGCGACACAGACAGGGAGATTAAGCGACACTAAGACTAAGTCGACGACCATTCGCACGAAAGAGGGGAACACGTGGACCTCGATCAAACATTGATCTTAATGACGAATGTCTATATCAATCATAAATATCACAGGCACAATAAGAATATCACGGGCACAATAAGAATATCGCGAGCAAAGGATGAATTTCACGGCCAAGTTCATAACATCGCTAGCCAGATACAAGAAGGTCACGGGGAAAACTAGCCTATATACTAACGAAAGGATGAATTTCACGACCAAGTTCATAAACTTGTTAGATAAATGCATGAATATCACGGGCGTGATCATAAACTGTATGCCTAAACGTATGAACGCCACAGGCATAACCCCCAGACACGAAATCCTATCACTAAACGCCATTAAAATCTATTTACAACACAAGATATCAAGGAAAAAGGACGCTTACTTGGAGGAAATATGAAGAGCGACAGTTGTTGAGATAGGTACGCAACGGACTGTGCGGCGGTCTCAATGACTCTGAGAAAATGCACGGTGTTGACGGCAGAGAAAATGTGGGAGCGCAAAAATGTGAAAACAAGTTATGGGCTCTGAAGCCCTATTTATAGAGCTGGCATGGAATGTGAAACGTCGCGTCGAGCAATCACAAGCCGCCTTTCTCCTCGACACCTACTCGCAAAGTCAATGATGGCCCCTACTCCCTAGGCCATCATTGTGGTTTCCAAGAGCCACGCCACGTGTCTGGCTAGCGTAGCATCCTCTCCCCACGAGAACTCCCCGAACACTCCTCGACCGCTGCACGAAGCAAAATCATGAATCAGGCGACGTCCTCCGTCCGCGGTAGAAAAACTCCATGTCGCGCAATAAGTCTCGCGAAGGGGCGAACTTAAATCAAGTCATAACTCCTTCACCAGGAGCAACGACTTGGGGGGCTCGTGTTCTGAACTGGGCCTGCCCTTGGTCCAACTCCTAGTGAGGCCCGATCCAAGCGGGCCAACCTGTTGGGCTGACTGGTATTTTCCCCGAGCACAGCCTTATCGATCAAGACTGCTTCTCGTTGGTGCTCGCGGGGACCATCTTTGACGAGCAGGCGCTTCTCCCGAGCATCCTCCTCGTAGGACTGACTTCCAACCTCTCCGAATTTTGCGGAGTCTTCATGGTCTCAGAAAGATCGCGTCCATATCCTCCTGGTCTTGCGGAGGACGTCATCCAGGTAGAGGACCACGTGCGAGTCCCCACTACTCACGTAGAACCTGACAGTCTCTATGTTGGGCCTGTTTAATCAGCCCAATAAAAAGACCTTGACCCAGCGTTGGGGGCTATAAATACCCTCTCTTCCGAGAGGGTCAGGTATTCACTTTCATATCTCTAAACTCATACTTGCTTACTCATTCTGCAACTTACTTTATCATCGGAGTGTCTTGCAGGTACCCCACATCTCATTCAAATTCTGTCTGAATCAGCTGTAACGGTTCATTTCTGATCCGGTGAGATTAAAATCTAACATGATATTTCATGATCAAGAGATGTAAAGTGATAACCAAATTTATTTTTCTCTTGAAATTTGGAATATTGTAATTCATAAAGTGTCCGGAGAATAAATTCCTAATATATTATTGACAAAACTGTGTGTCTTACGGATGAAATAATTTTGTTTTAAAATGGAGGCGGTTGGATTTTGAAATTCGGTCAATACGATTAACATTTTTTGGAATTTATGGCTGTGATTGGTGTAGTGAAGAACATCCAATCTAATAATATAAATGGAGTTGGTCAATGGTGTGAGTTATGAGGGGTAACATAGCCGTTGGTTAAATTCTACCGAACACCATTACGTGCCCTTTTGGTGGGGTGAGTGGAGTCTTTGGATTCTTTTTCTTAACGGTAAGCAAAATAAAACAAACCAAAGCAAAGCAAACCAAACCAAACAACAACACATCCAATGCTTAACGTTATCCAACAATTCTGACTACGACCCTTCGCCTAAACGTACTCTCTCCCCTTATTACTGCCATTTCAGGACACATTAATTCCTCACTAACTAACTTCAAATTTCAAACCAAACACCACATTCACAGAATTTGAAATTGAGAAACACGCAAATTATACCCAAAATGCCCATTGCAACAAAGCTTCACGTTCGTTCTAAACCGCGAGCTATTCTGAAACCAGGCGGAAACATAGTTCCGGTTCATGAAGAAACAACTAGACATAACAAGAAGAAAACACAGCAGGGTCCAAGAAAACAGGTGGCGGAAATTTCTGAGTCACTTGTTGTTGTCGGAAGTAACGTGTGTTTGGATTTGGACAGCACATGTTCCTCGGATTCCTCTTCTGTCAAAAAGGTCAACTCTGCGAATGGAAATGGAAATTCAAAGATGAAGCGCAACGGGTTTAAGCTGCCGGTGAGGGATGCTGCCCACGTGTCTCTGCCTTATAAGGGTGAGCCACCGTCCAAGACATGCGATTGGATCACACCCAATTCAGGTACTCCATTCCGTTATTATTATAAACAAAAAAATATCTTTAATTTTGGTCAATAAAACTATTAACTTTTACACTAATTAATGTTCTCTAATTTAATGTTATTAGTTGATTTATTAAATATAATTTAAAATATTATAATAAATTTTATTTTGATTATACATAAAATCAAAAGATTAACTATGTTTATATTATTTTTTTAATATGTGTGAGAGTAGTTATTTTAGTTTATAATTATGATTGAAAGGAGTAATTTTTATATACAAACATTAATCATAAAAATAAAATTTATTTGTAGTATATTGGACCGTGTAATTTATGTTTTCTTTCATAGTATTAATTAACCAAGTATTATCATTGAAAGTCATATTAAAGATAAAATCATGTGTAACCAAAAAAAAAAATACCATGAACATATAAAAAATCACCATACAAGACTATATTATTTTATTTAAAAACACCGTAAAACCAAAAACATGTTAAATATCACACACGCCACCAAACAATAATGATAAAAAAAACCATATTTTTATATAGAAAAATATCTTATTTGAGTTCTTAAAAAAATAATTAAATATATTAGATTTAATACTAAAATTAATATTAATTACTAAAATACTGTTATTAATTATAAGAAATAGAATAGTTGAATAAATTGAAAGTTAATAAATAAAAATATAATAATAAAAAATAATAGAATAATAAATATTATATTGAAAGCGTAAAAGAGAATTATTTTAAAACAAAAAAATATATATATGAACACTCATATGAGACTGATGGAATAATTAATGATTGATAATAAATAAATTTGCATTGGTGGATAAAACTCGCGGCTAACTTCTATAAATATGAGATAAATATAAAAAAAAAAATTGTATTTAATTAATATTTATTAATTTTTCAATGACACTCATCTATATAAATCAATAATTTAAAATTTCTAACTTGATAGAATATACTATGGTTATTGATTAAAGTATAAAATTAATTTATGTATATTTTATTTTCTCTTTTTCAATTAATTATAATAATAATCAAATTAATAGAAAACTATAAAATTTAAACTATAAAAAATTTAAATTAAATTATAAATTCTTTAGAAAACTACTATTGTCAAAGAAATCTTTTTAAACATAAACTCTTGATTTAAATGAATTTATCTTGCCAAATAGGGCGATAACCTTTATGTACTACAAATAATTGGCTCCTTTAGATTTGATCAAATATAAAGCCATAACACATAGTTGTGATAGTAGGAAACACGTTATATTCATTCACTTATTATTCTCTCCATTTTATAATAGGTGTTTTTTTAAAAAAATTTCATTTTTTAAAATAATAATTAATTATATTTATCTCAATAATAAAATAAGTGTTATTTATTAAAATAATTTTACTAATAATATGTAGTGAACTATTTACATAAATTAAAATACAATAAATAAATTTAGTTAGTGAAAATAAATAATAAATATAACATTAATATTTTAAAAAAATAAATAATTTAAAACAAATAAAAAAAAGACACATATTAAAACAAAGAAAGTAATATGCTTCATAAATAAAATTTAGTTAGTGAAAATAAATAACAAATATAAGTTGATATTTTAAAAGGATAAATAATTTAAAATAAATAAAAATATAAAAAAAATTAACATGCTCCATAAATATTACTTCATGTCCTCAGGGCCGGTTCAATCCATTTGGACGTCTAAAGAAAATTTTAAAATAATCTTTTAAAGTATATTTTAAAATAATAATTTTATGATTGTTAAGAGTTGAACTAAAGACTAAAAGAAGAAGAGGCTTAAATTTTAACAATTCAACTATGATAATTTATATGTCTTAATATATTATTATAACTAAATAAAAATATTTTAAAACTTTTTTAAATTTAAATTTTTGAGGCCTAAAACCCTAATTTAAATGGCTTGATATCTAGACTGACCTTACATGTCCTTTATATAAGAGATATTTAGATCAAATAAAATTTAAATTTAATATATCAAAATTATGTATTTAGCTAAATACATCAAATTTTATTGATCTTGATTCTCTTATGAAAAGGATCAAAAAGAATAATTGTGAAATTTTTTGTTGGAATAATATAACAAGTGTGAGTAAGTGAGAAAATAGTCTCACATTGTATAGAAATATGGAGACTTAAGCATGTATATACTCACTCATCTATCACTAAGATTTTAGGTGAAGAAGTTGTATGTCTCTCACAAATGTGTCTAGTGATACACTATGTATCAATGCTCCTAATATTCCCCTAACATTTTTTAATATATTATTCTTCATTAGTGAAATATATTTTTGGTCCTCATAAATATTTCATATTTAATTTTTAATCATTTCAAATTATTTTTTCAAAGAATGGTCCTCCTAACAATTTTAATTTTAACTTTTAGTGCTTTCTATAATTTAGCGACGGTTTTTATAACTTAATGACAAAATTAGCGACAATTTTTTATTCAACAATTAAACTAACGACAATTTTAACGGCAATTTTAGCATAATTCATAAGGAATTAAAAATTAAAATTAAAATTTTTAAGAAGATTATTCTTTTTAAAAAAAAATTCAAAAAACTAAAATTAAATATAAAATATTTAAATAGGCTAAAAATATATTTAACCTTTAAAAAAATCAAAGAGAGTGTATTTGTAAAAAATTTAACAACAAATAATATACTATTCTCTCCTCTCGGTATGATTAAAGCGTTTTATTTTTATTTTTTCTACTTTAATATAATTTCCTTTCTAAAATATCAATGTCACATTTTTATTTTTATTTTTTAGTATTATATTTTATTTATCAACTTTTCTTCTATTTAATTATCTTATAAATATAATTAATAAAAATATTTTAGTAAATATATTAATTTCATAATTATAATTATTATACTTAGTTATTTTCTTAAAAACTAAGTACGCATTGTTAAGGTGGAAAGAGTAAAAGATTGACACATAGTTGCAATAATGATTGAATGAAACTGTAAAACAGTAAGTACGGTGTATATATCAATTATTTTTCTATTTTGAAATGAGTTTTGTGTAATATTTCTATACAAATATTAAGACAGAAAATAATTGGTTGAAAGATAACAATAATTTTATTAATTTTTTTATTAAGTATTAATTTGTTTTTTACTATAGGAATTATACTATAATATTGATTATCAATTACTAGTATGTTTTTGTATTAAAATATTTTATTGGTGTGTTTTCCACTATTATATATTTAAAGTTGAATGTGCTATTTCCTTATTAGATGTTATTAAAAATTGTTCAAGGAAAATTGGTAAATTTTATCCGAAATTTTAATCCTATTCGTCAATTTTATTTGAGTAACTTTTGTTCATATCTAAGATAAGAGGAATTAAAATTTTTAGAGCAATGACATGAAGAATAATTAGAGATACAATTGTAAAAAATAATCAATATTAAATTAAAATTTCAAATTTTTTTATTTTAAGCAATTTTTTTTAGTTATAGTAATAGCTTGTAAAATATATGAAGGTGTCTTATTATAAAAAAAGTGAAGATTTATTTTGACCCTTCATAAAAATTATAGAATTTAAATTAATCTTTTAGAAAAATAAGGATTTGATTTAATCCTTTATAAAATTTAACTGGGTTATATTAGTCTCTTTGTTAATATTTTCTCAAATCAATTTTTTTTATACTTTTAAACGGTTGGAAATCCACCAAAATCTATGATGAATTTCTACCAATCTTAATGAACAAGATTGATATTATCACACAATGACAATGAATTATATGAAAAGAAAAGAAAAAAAAAAGAAGACGATTATTTTTCTGCAGAGTTCCTCTCTGTCCACAAACTGTGAAAAACTTTATTATTCACTTGCAACTGTAAATTCTGTGAATACAATGAATTGACTTATTTACAAAAAAAAAGGATTATTCTCTATTTTTAGATTTAGTTTAGCTTGCTCCCTAATTCAAAGTCCAAAACTATAAAAGTCCAAAATATTTATTTTGGAACTAAATCTATCTAATTTAGATATAAATCAAATTTATTTATTTTAGATTTAAATCAAATCTATCTAAATCTAAAATAAATCTACGTGTAACAAACTGTTTCACACTAAATCAAATCTTTTCGACATTCCCTTGTCTCTGTCGAGTAAACTGCTTTAACACAAGGAATTACTTTCAACACATCACCTAATTCATTGTGTCTAAGCTATCTACATTCATCATAGTTCTTAAGTCTTCAAAATACTTCGATCTGCACACCCTTTGTCATAATGTCTACAATCTGATTCTCAATTCTGTAGTGTTCCAAGTTCATCTTCCCATCTGTTACCTGCTCTCGAAGATAGTGGAACCTCATTTCAATGTGCTTGCTTCAACCGTGAGCTATCAGATTCTTCGGCAGGTTGATAGCTGACATATTGTCGATTGTCATGGTAATTGCTCCATGATCTTTCCCTGTTATCTCTTCGACCAAGTTCATCATCAATGTTGTTTGACATGCACAAAGAGAAGCGGCTGTGTATTCTACTTCTCATGATGATAATGTCACCACTGGCTCCTTTCTCGAACTTCAAGCAACTGGTACACCACCTAACATAAACACATATCTTGCTGTGAATTTTCGATCTTCAACATCACTACACCAACTTGAATCAGTGTATCCCACTAACTTGCATTCTTTACTTTTATCAGCTGCAGGAAATAAAATGCCATAGTTGAGAGTTCCTTTGAGATATCTTACTATCCTCTTCACTTCTGCTAGAGGTGATACTTTTGGCTTCTGCATGAATCTACTTACCATACTTACATTATATGTAAAGTCAGGCCTTGTATGACAAATGTATCTTAGTGACCCAAAAGTCTTATATATTAGGTTGGGTTGACATCATCTTCTTCTGAATCTTTTGACAGTTGCAGTCTTGGTCCTGCAAGCGTCGAAGTCGAATTGCATTCTTCCATCTCAAATCTCTTGAGAATTTCACTTGCATATCTTCTTTGATGCATCATCAAATTTCTATTGTTCTTGTAGAATTTGATACCAATGAAGTATGAAATGTCACCCAAATTACAAATTTTGAATTCCTTTTTGAGATCACCTTTGAAGTCTTCGATCTCCTTCTTACAGCTACCTATAATTAACAAGTCATCGACATAGAAACATAGTATAAGCAACTCACTATTGTTTCTTCTTACATATACTCCATGTTCAGTTGAGCACTTCACAAATTCCTTCTCCCTTAAAAAACTATCAATCTTCTTATTCCAAGTTCTTGGAGCTTGTTTCAATCCATACACGACTTTATGCAGCCTGTACACCTTTCTCTCTTCGTTATGTTTCACAAACTCAACTGGTTGTTTAACATAAACTTCTTCGTCTAAGGGTCCGTTCAGGAATGCACACTTCACGTCCATCTGACATATGTGTCAACTGTTTATTTATACAAGACCAACAATCAACCTGATTGTTTCGATCCTTGCCACAAGTACAAAAACTTCATTGAAGTATATTCCTTCTTTCTGTAGAAATCCTTTCGCCACAAGCCTTGCATTGTGTCGAGTTACTTCCCCTTTGGGATTCATCTTCACTTTGTATATCCACTTAACATCAATTGTCTTCTTGCCTTGAGGCAATTCGACAAGTGACCAAGTATTGTTGTCTTCGATGGATTTCACCTCATCGTTCATTGCTTTTACCCACTTCTAAACTTTCAATGCTTCAATTGCATTGACAAGTTCGACATCTGTATAGAAAGCATAATATACCATCTCACATTTGTTATAAACCACATCATTTGATGATATCACACAACCTTGCAACCTTGCAAGCATGTGTCTTGTTCTCTGAGGTCTGCTTGTTCCTGGTTGATCTATAACTACTGGTTCCTCTTGTCGAACTTCTCTTTCGACTTGATTTTCTGGCTCTTCAAGTAGGATTCTCACTGAATCTTTCTTGACATTTTCAGTCCAATCTCATTCTTTAAGCTCATCTATGATCACGTCTCTGCTGGTTACAATCTACTTTCACTGGGTCGAATAACTTGTAACCTCATATTGAATGATATCCAACTAGAACCATTTGACTCGACTTGCTGTCGAACCACTTTCCTTTTCTTTTCTTGTCTTTTGCTGATTGAGTCTGCAAAGCCACATTACTCTTCAACTTGTTTGCAGCTCTTTCAACCATTCTTTGTTCATGAGATTCAAGCGTCCCTTGAAGCTCTTTCTTTGACAAAGATGACATGTCCTTCAACTCTTCTATGGCAACTACCACATGATCGAACTCTGGAGCCAAAGATCTTAAGATCTTCGAAATAACAGCTCTTGTTGTTAACGTCTTTCCACAAGTCTTGATTTGATTCACTAGTTTCGTAATCCTAGTGAAGAAATCATATATGCTTTTGCTATCTTCCATCTAAAGCTATTCATACGTTCTTTTGTGAGTTTATAACTTGACCTCTTTCACCTTCTCAGCGCCTCCAAACGATTTCTTCAGAATCTCTCAAGCTTCTTTGCAGATTCAACATCACTAACCTTTTCGAAATTGTCTAGGCTGACACATTGGTGAATTATAAAGAGAGCTTTATAATTATTCTTCTTCGATTCTCTGCATTCTGCTTCTTCTTCTTCTTCTGAAGCGTCTTCATCAAGTGGTTTTAATCCATGTTTCATAAGATCCCAAATACCTTGAAAGCAAAATATAACCTTCATCTATTTGCATCAATTGTCATAGTTATCACCTTTAAGAATTGGAAGACTTGCTGAAAAATTTCCGTTAGCGTTGTCCGTCGCCATCATGAATTTCTTCTTCTTCTTCCTCAATCGTTCTTAATCGTTCTTCCCTTGAATCACTCAACCGGAGCTCTTGATACCAGATGTTAGAAATCCACCAAAATCTATGATAAATTTCTACCAATCTTGATGAACAAGATTGATATCACCACACAATGACAATGAATTATATGAAAAGAAAAGAAAAAAGAGAAGACGATTATTTTTCTGCAGAGTTTCTCTCTGTCCACAAACTGTGGAAAACTTTATTATTCACTTGCAACTGCAATTTCAGTGAATACAATGAATTGACTTAATTACAAAAAAAGGGGTTACTCCCTATTTATAGATTTATGTTAGTTTGCTCCCTAAGCCAAAGCCCAAAACTATAAAAGCCCAAAATACGTATTTTTGAACTAAATCAAATCTATCTATTTTAGATCTAAATCAAATCTATCTAAATCTAAAACAAATTTGTGTGTAACAAACTGTTTCACACTAAATCAAATCTTTTCGATATTTCTTTGTCTCTGTCGAGCAAAGTGCTTCGACACAAAGAATTACTTTCAACATAAACTATGACTGGACCGTCATATTGGATTTTATTTTTTATTTTTCATTTTTTAAATACAAAATTGATTTTTATTTTGAATAAACAATTCTCATTTTAAAAAATGAAAAATAAAATTCAACGTGGCGGTCCGGTCATGGTTTAAAAGTATGAAAAAATCGATTTGAAAAAAATATTAATAGAAGGACTAATACAATCCGATTTTAAATTTTATAAAAGATTAAATCGAATCCATATTTTTGTAAAAAATTAATCTGAATTTTGTAATTTTTGTGAGTGATTAAAATGGACATTCATAAAAATAAAAAAAAAGTGTTCATCAATTAAGGAATTTTCATTAAATTGGTCTTGTACTAGTATTCATTTAATCTTCTTACATTCATTTAATGAGAATAAAGTGTGCCCCTTAAATTAATAGAATTCCTACTCATTAACAAATGTAATTTTATTATTAACAGACCCTGTTTATACTTCTTTCCATGACGAAGAATGGGGTGTTCCAGTTATTGATGATGATACAAAGCTATTTGAGCTTCTAGTATTTTCACAAGCATTAGCAGAACACACTTGGCCAACCATTCTTAACCACAGAAACATTTTCAGGCATGTCTCTATCTCTATTACTATAATATTTTTCAACCATGCATGTTATGTGACACTTATTTGTTAATCTGTTATTATAGGAAATTTTTCGAAAATTTTGATCCATCTTCAATTGCACAGTTTAATGAGAAGAAGTTGCTAACACCAAAAATAAATGGCAACAACCCTTTGTTATCCGAACAAAAGGTTCGCGCCATTGTGGAAAACGCTAAACAATTACTTAAGGTTCAACATGAGTTTGGTTCATTCAGCCATTACTGTTGGAAATTCGTTAACAACAAACCGATAAAAAATGAATTCCGATATGGACGACAAATATCAGTGAAAACTCCGAAATCAGAACTCATTAGCAAGGATTTGATGAGAAGAGGTTTCCAATGTGTTGGACCAAAAGTAGTTTATTCATTCATGCAAGTATCAGGGCTAGTTAATAACCATTTATTAACATGCTTCAGGTACCAACAATGCAACGTGACAATGAAAAATGAAATTAAAACTGAATAGGTTAAGAAGAAAAAGACATCAAATGTAAGGTTGATTGTATTTGTTGATTCTTTCTTAACATGTTTGTAGTTTTATGCCACCTTATCTAACCAGAAAATGATAGGTCTTATCTTGTGTTTTTTGTTGTCCCCACGTGAAATTGTGTGTTTCTTTTGGGATATTTGCTGATAGGTTGTTGTTATGTTCTCTGTTTCTCTGTTCTGTAATAAATTGATAATGCTTCTATGTCCCACTATTTTTTATGATGTTGCACTTTTTTGGAGTAGCTAAGAGGAGAGGGCTCTCAAGACTGCTTTTGATAGGTGCCTAATGTTAGGGTCCTTCCTTTGCCTCATTGGCAATGCTCATGATAGGATCAATTTTGTACTATGAAAAAACTTACTTTTGGTTCTAATTAATCTTTAAAATTCACTTATTAATATCACTATAAATTCAATTATTTTGATTAGTTTACAAATAAATGATGAAGCATTACTTAATATCTTCCATCCTAAAATAATTTGATCTATTTGTAAAAAAAAGTCTAAAAAATGACTAATCATTTTCAACACAATTTTAAGGATTTTCTTTTTCAAATTTAGTTTCTTTCTAATTAATATTATGTGTATCACTCTAAATATAATATATTCTATATTGAGTATATTGGGTAGATGACAAGAAAAGTTGAATAAATAATAATGAAAAGCAAATTAAACTATTTAAATGAGTGTAAATCTCTTATATATGGTTTAAATTTTGGTGATAATATTTATTTATATTTAATATATTTATAAATTAATCATTTTTTTTTAAATTAATCATTTTTTAAAAAAATTAACAGATAATGATTCGTTAGAATAACAACTTGTAATAAAAGAGTAAATAGTGTAAATTAAAATAATGAATACAATATTTGTTTGTGCAGTTGGGCCATTGTTCTTATGTTTGCAACTATAAATATAATTTTATATTATTTTTTAATAAATTAATGTTTCAGTATTACGAGTTATATATATATATATATATATATATATATATATATATATATATATATATATATATATATATATATATATATATATATATATATATATATATATATATATATATATATATATATATATATATATATATATATATATATATATATGAGACACAAATTACAAGTATACCTCTAAGTTATATTGTGGAGACTATCGCCTCTTGCACCCCACTAGCCTCCACAATAATTAGGCCTAACACACATTTAACTCGACTGTCCAACCCTTCTTTTTTAACCATGAGTCATACTTAAACATCTCTATCTTTATCTTAGCGAATATCAAATCCTTATGAAAATTTATTGCATGACATTCACTTATAGATAAGTGGGATGTACAACACCTACTTAACCATTAGAAACATGTAACAAGTCTAAGTTGTACTTGAACTTGTCACTCTGGTAACTGGCTCGGTCAATATATCACCTACATTCTCTAACCTATGAATTTTTTCAAGTAATATTTATCTAGACACAACTAACTTTCTGATCTTGTGAAATCTCGCATCAATATGATTGGTTCTAGTGTGACACACCTTATTAATTGTCAAATAAATGACACTTTAACTATCTCAATGCAACAGATCTCCATTTTGTTCAACACCTAATTTCCTAACCAATCATGTAACCTGTAAGGTCTCGTTGGAAGCCTCAACTACTTACATGTACAATGCCTCTTTCAAATTCTTAGCTACCGACATGTACTCTATTTTTGCGGTAGACATGTTTGTTATGGATTAAATTGACGATTTCCAGCAAATAGGTCCACATGCAATAGTAAAGACAACTTATTGTAGACTTTCTACCATTCATTTCACATATGTAGTTTGAATAAACAAAACCTACAACTGAAAGATCATTAATTCCACTACTAAACATGATACCATGACATGTTGTACCTTTCAAGTACCTAAAAATCTAATTGACTACTTCCTAATGACGATTACCTAGTCTGGATATAAATTTGTAAACTTGACTTACAACTTGTGTCAAATATGATACAGTGCAAATCATATAATACATTAAACAAACAACATCATTGACCTAAGGAACTATTGACACATACTCAACTTTTGCATATTTTTTTAGCTAATGATCAATAAGGTTTTAAAGTGAATCACCAATGGAGTACTCATAACCTTTGAATTAGTCATATTAAATTTGTCTAACTACACCTAGGTTCTTCGTGTCAAACTCCTTTCCCATTAAGATTTTCATTTCATTTACATCATGTAAATGATTAAAAGCGATCAAAATATCTTCCATGTACACTAATAGGAAAAAAGTCATCATCAAGATTCCTAACATAAACACAATAGTCATTCTTTCATTTATTGTTGTCAATCTGAAGCATATATGAATCAAAGAGTTTACACTTCCTTGGAGACTACTTTAAATCATACAAAAAACTTTTTTAACCAATCGACGTTCATCATGTTTGTTAGTTTTGCTTTAAACAACGTCTTTTAAAATCTTTGATGAGCCAACACATCCTTAACCCTCCTTTGGAAAAATTAAAATTTTCACTCTACCAAACCTTGAAAATTTGAATTTCGTACTAGAGTAATTGACTTATGATACTAATTGTTAAAAAAGTAATTAATAACAAAAGAGTAAATAGAAACATAAATTACAAACAACCAACACGATATTTGTAGGTAGTTTAGCCAAGTGCGCATATGTTTGTCATTACATAGAAACTATAGTTCCATATTATTTATCGAATGAACTGGAGTTTCAATATTATAAGTCATATATGAAATACTATAGTCTAGATTACAAGTATACTCCTAAATTTTACTGTAGAGTTTGTCGCCCCATCCCTAACAATTGGGCCTAAGACATGTTCACTAGTTCGATTCCCCCGTCCCCATACCTCTTCTACGACTACAAGATATATTCAACAAAGTCAATCAAGAACAAATATTTAACTAATATGCAAACAAAATATCAAACAATCAAAACCAAAGATAAAGTAAAGAGAGTAGATGAATAACATTAATGTTAGTTAATGCAATTCGAGTTTAGAAAATACCTACATATGTAAATGAGAATAACTGAGATTCACTATCTTAACATGGTATCATAGCCTCGTTTAAGATTCGGTGGGTCACCTGCTATCAAGTTTCCACTATCGGACCACCCACCATTTAATTCCTCGCTCCAGATATCCAATCCTGGATGTGAAGGGGTGTGTTAAGAGTCTCACATCGGACAATATATGACATGAACATGTCCTTATAAGTGGGAGAAATCTTCACCCTACAAACTTCTTTTCTAGGATTAAGTTAGGGAAAACCACATTTATTAACAAATAACTGAGATTCATTATCAATAAATATTTACAAGAGATATAAAGAAATAATTGCTTAAGATGAAAAATCCTTACTTTTTATTTTCTTCTCTCGATTCCGAATGAATTTCATTCTACAATTCATGAGAGAGAAATTGTATCATTTTTGTAATAATTTCTAACTACAATGTTTACAATGTGTTCCCAAACATACTTTAGGTATTTTATGACATTTTTTTTGGATGAATAAGCAAAACTATTTTAAATAAAGAATATTGTAACATGGTAATATCAATTCAAATGAATATTTTTAGAGAGAAAAGCTCTCCCCTTTCTCTAAAACTAGAGCTTCATCTTGTGGGTGAGCGTCGCCGCTCCTCCAATCTTGGAGTTTCTCTCCTCCAACATGGAGGCTCCCTCCTCCCCAATGGAGGTTTCTCTCCCTTTGTGGAATGTCCTTATCTCACTTCCTTGCTGTTTAATCATCCATTTCTATTGGGTTGTTTCCATAGTCTACCTTCAACCTCCATTGTGTTCTCGCTTTTCTCCATCAACAGCTACCTGTAACGCCCGTAATTTAATTAATTATTTAATTAAATTATTTTTGAAATATTTGTGAAGTTGTTTATTATGTTAGTTGATGTGTTGTTGTTATTGGATTCATTTATTCTATTAAGTTATGGAATAATATTAGAATGATAATATTATTTGAGGTGAGCTTGTTTTTAAGGAATATAAGTAGTAGAAAGGGGGTGTAGGAGTTTTAAGCCCATTAAGGCATAATAAGAATTATAGGGTTATTATATTAGTTTTTAGAAATAATAAGAAAAGAAGCAGTAATAAGAGACGGAAATAAGGGTTGGAAGAAGAGAAAGATAACGTGAAAGTTGCAGAAAAGAAGGAAAAGAGGCAGAACAAAATTCAATCGGAAAATTTATAGAGCAGCCTTCAATCCAAGGTAAGGGTGGGGTTTTGACTCTATAATAGGGTTTATGATGATTAGTATGTGGGATTTGATGTGAAAGATTGTTTGGTTTATGATTGAATTATATACATTGTTGTTTGATGAAAATCAATGATTTAAGGATGAATAATGATTCCCTAATGCTGTATAATTGATGTAGAAATATAGGATAATTATAATTGATGATTACCTATGATTAGAGGATGTTTCTAGGGCCTGAAGCATGGAAACCGCAGGGAAAACCTAGTGAAATCCCAGAAAATATTCATGACAAAACAGTATGTGTCGACCCCAAAAGCCATGCGTCGATGCATGAAGGCTTTTAGACTCAGGATGAGTCGATACGAAGAAGTCATGCATCGATACATGCAGGTTTTTAGACTCAGGATGAGTCGATATGAAGGAGCATGCATCGATACATGTAGTGTTGCAGACTCAGTATGAGTCGATACGAAGGGAGTACGTGTGGATACATGCAGCGTGTTATGCCTAGTATGCATCGACTCAAGACGTTATGCGTTGACTCATGTAGTCTGATTTTTGACAGATTCTTTTCCAAAGGCTGTAACTTGAGTTTCCAGACTCCGTTTGAGGTGTCGTTTGAAGTGTTGAATATATGACGCGATGAACTTCATTCTTAAGGAATAAAATGAAGAATATAAAGTGTAATACGGTGGGAAGAACTGACTGTTTTTTGGAATGCTGGTTTGCGTTTTGCGTTTATT